AAAGACTTGCTGATTATACCTAATGTAGTCCGTCAGAATCAGGAACAATGCTTGCGCTTAAAGGGACCCTCCCACCTTCAAAAAAGTTAATGAATTGGCATGAAAGTGATGTCGCTCGGTTCAGAAAGAGCAAAAACGAATATCTACCAAATTTCACCGAAAAATATTCACCGGTTTTCAAGATATTAGACTTTTACTTTTGTTTACTTTTTGGGATCTCCGCTGTTCCTAGCGACTTTATTTGAAAGTGCGGCATTTGTTGCGCGCAAAGCAGCATATACCACCGCGTGCTACAAAACGTTTTAGTCAAACATTTAACGGACATTCGAAAGCCTGATGACGTCATCAAATTCCCGTAATGGTTAAGAGATAGGGACCACGCTGGTCCCACCCTGCAAGTAAAGGGAAGAAATTTCTTGAACACCATAAAGCTGCGGGGGTTGCGACCAGGATAAATGGTGGTTTCTGAGCCTGGCCGCAAACTTGGCTATCTCAACTCAAAACTAATGTTAAGGTGGGAGGGTCCCTTTAAAGTGGAGAGCTTGAAAAACTCTAGACGATAGAAGTAATTATGATCGTGGAAGACACAACTTAATCGAAGATAATTGAGCGAAACGTGGAGCGCCTGCAAAGCCGGCTGTCCAGCTCTGCGCCTGTGCACTGTGCAGCAAGGCCGTATAAGTTAGGTAAGATCGTCCGGGCTCGCTAATGTTACAAATCTGCAACACTACGGTGACGTCACCGGCGCATACGCTCCCTGGCTCCATCCTGACCCTGATGCGGCGGCTGGAATCGCTGCTAATCGAAAAATTACTTGTGCAATAGCGCTTTTAAATGACTTTAAAAAGGGGGAAAATATGATAACAAAATAATTATGAGAATCCCCTGTCCCGACTTGGATCGTACGACCCCGCCACCTAGCGGACAACGCCGTAATTAGGGTTGAGTTGGCGATCTCCAGGTGGCTCGTCACTCGTCAGCTGTCAGCCGCAGGCAGGCGGGGGCCGGCAGGCGCTTAAGTTATGTTAACGCCAGGTCATGCTCAGGAAAATGCGACATGCTTCATAACGGTCATTTATCTCGAAAAAGATGCGGTGCCCTGTGGTGCTATGGCCCACATGACTCGGGACCCGTGAGGCCTCTGTAGTCACCAGCAGCTCCCAAGGCTGCTACGGACGCGATACCGCAGATACGTACTCCGAAAATTGCTAGACAAAGGACTGCGATGGAGCCTGGAGGAATGCATTGCAAGGACTATGTTTTGGTTTATGTTCCTGTGCGTAATCGCGGGGCTATCGGTGTTAGGGTCCCGGGGGCCAAAGCCATGCGGGCAACTGGGGTGTATCTGGATGGTGAATGGTGATGATATCGTGTTTTTGTTCGGCCACATGGGCACAATAACGAAAGCATTGATTCACTCCGTCCGAAAGCCTAGGTACCGAACCAATTAAGAACCACCAACAGATGTATTCCATGACAGGAAACAAAACGACCCCAACACTGCTCGCGCATGTCTATCCAATATCCATCCAGTGAGGGAGCACATGTGGTCCGTGTCCCCGCACACACGGGCACACAGACGATGGGTAACGCAACCACGAGTCGGCACAACGCAATCACGAATGGTTAACGCAACCACGAGTCGGCACAACGCAATCACGAATGGTTAACGCAACCACGAGTCGGCACAACGCAATCACGAATGGTTAACGCAACCACGAATGGTTAACGCAACCACGGGTCGGCACAACGCAATCACGAATGGTTAACGCAACCACGAATGGTTAACGCAACCACGAGTCGGCACAACGCAATCACGAATGGTTAACGCAGCCACGAATGGATAACGCAACCACGAGTCGGCACAACGCAATCACGAATGGTTAACGCAACCACGAGTCGGCACAAGATGAATGAGCAAAAGCGACTGTCAACCACGCAACCACGAATCCGCACAAAATGAATGAACCAAAATTACTGTTCAACAGGGGTCAGCACTGCGCGCGTCCAGAGAGGCCAAGCCGGCAGCTCGCGTGATCACGCCCTGGGTCCGCGCCCTCAGCCGGGGTAGGCTCACCGTGCCATCGCCGAACTGGATGACCATCGTGGAAGAGTTCGAGGTCATCTTCCGGTTGATGATGGGTGCTACCGTCGACGGTCAGTCCGGTATCGTGCAGAGGCTGCTGGCGGCACTCCAGGTAAAGCGTCCATCTCTGGACGCCAGGATCGCGAGGAAGCTGGTGACGACGCGGGTCCACCTTCGGATCCGCTCACTAAACCAGCGCCAGGACGAGGTCGTAAGCACAAGTGATCCGCTCCTCGCGTAGGCCGGCCTGGCTCCCAGTGATGGTGCGCCGGGAGCTGCTCGCTGCCCGGCTGAACTGTCTGACAGCCTCAGAAGACAGAAAGTGACGGCGCTCTCCACACTGGCGAGTGATGCCGGGGTAAAGATGTCGGCACTGGACGCCGCCGGCAGACGCAGTGCGTTCTCCATCTGATTCAGCTGCTTCCTGCCGATTTACCTGAAACAAAGTCAAGTGAAATCAATGATCCTTCTTACCTAAGTGGTGGCCTGAGCTCTGCAATACGTGGACGTATCAATGGCCACAAAATCTATCTAATTAAGGTGCTGTTTAAATAAAGATAGAATTAATAGTGAATAGTGATTGTTGAAATGGCGACGGTCGGTGAGCTTAAACTAATGTAAAGTGGGAAACCCCAAAATTTAGTGTGTACAATATCTTAGCGCGAGCACCACTGAACATTACGTCAGCTCGCGCAATTTGATAGCCGCGTGCTGCTATCACCGGTGAAACAGGGCCCAGGTTTAGAGCCTTGCCCACAGTTTCCACTCAAGTGATTCAGAGGTAAGCTTAGTCTGAGTCTGATTGCAACATCATTCTCAAAGCTAGCATCTGAGTGTATTCAGTCTCTATCAAAACTACTGATTGCTGGAACCCTTGGCCCTGTTTCACCGGTGATAGCAGCACGCTACCGACTATCAAATTGCACGAGCTGACGTAATGTGATGAGGTCACACTAATGACGTTTCGTGCAATCCGTGAGCTTCGTTTGGACCAGAGTTGCTGTCTCGTTGAATTGCGTTTGATACATTTGTTTGATCGCATGGCCGTGAAGATGCTAGCAGCAATATTTGATGACATCACACAGATTGACTGAGTCATGCTTTGTTGATGTTTCCATGGAAACCCAATTTGACTCGTGTAATAGCAGCTTGCTGCTATCACTGGTGAAACAGGGCCCTTGTATTGACAGTTCAAGCACCTAACAAAGAAAATATCAAATTCAATTATCTCCTCACCTTGATCTATCACTCAGAGATGAGGACGCTCCCTCAGTGTTGATGATGTCCTGCGCAAGGGACTTCATCTGTCGGCGATCACTCCTTGAAGCCCGAGTGCTTTGTTGCGCCGGTCTGTGAAAACACCATTTACATCAACATTCAAATAGGGCACAACTTCAGTGAGCTGCTTTGAGCATTGGTGACTGATGCACAGATTATATTTGATATGCAAAATGTTTCAAGTATCATGCAAATATGTCGGTAGCGGTACCTAACTTGGTACCTACCTGCTTACTAGCAACCTAATTTACAAATTAATGTGTCATGGTACATATCTGACAAGCGCACACAGTCACAGTGCAAATCCAAAAGCAAATATAAATTTGTTACAATTTCCATCACAATAAGAAAGATTCGAATTAGTACATTACCAACTGAATAGTTGGCATTCATATCAAATCCATTAAAATGAAATACATACCCCGAAGACCCAGCACTGCGCAGATTCTATGTTGGAACCGCATCAGTCTTCAGACATGGGCTCACACCTCAGTCGGGCACACTGTGGTATTTCCGATCCATTTATGGAAACGTTTCCATTTTTGGAACAATGTTCCAAAAATGGATACGCCGTTTCCAAAAATAGAAACGGTCTGTTCCATAAATGGAGACGCTGTGTGCATCGCTACCTTTAAAGCAAACTGGGCATTGATTGGTGCAATTTGGCATGCGCAGGATGCCACCAATCGACAGCCAGCATTCTAGTTTATGTTCCTGTTCTCCGACTTTCCGATCAAAAAACCGAAAGTTGACGAACGAGGCGATGCTTATAACATGTTGACGTGATAAAAAATTCACACGTTTTTCTAATCGAAAATAATAACATTTATGAATGTTTTGAACAAAAAATAACGTTTTTAACAGACTACTGAAAGACTGGCCCATTGATTGGAACAACCACATCACCGGGAACTTCAAATTTTCATTCATTTTCACGCTGCATTTTCCGGTGTACCAGCGGCCTGGTGGTCGTCAATCTTTGATTAAATCGGATTAAATCGCATGAAAGTTGTTGCAAAGCCCTATTTGGAGACTTAAGTGGGCATTTTATGATATTTCAAATGTGCTGAATGTGATCGTAGGCTCGGATCAATGTAAATATCCGTGCAAATACGCAAAAAGCAGGATGGAAATAAGGTCTGCACCGTCGTCACGCCAAATACCGTTGTATTCTGACGATGAATGTATTCATTCTAGTTCATGTGTAACATTGATATTAATTTATATATTGAAATGATATCTACGCTTTATGTATTGCCCACTTTGGACCACATCTGTCCAGTAGTTTCTAGGAAATCTTAGTTTTAGTTGACTTTTGAATGTGCTCAAGTTGCGGCGCGTAATTTATTATTATCGAACCTGACGTCCAAGGTAACTGCCGAGTGCCGAGATGCTAAACCAGTCCCAAAACATCAAATTTTCAGTTGCATGTGAATTTTAAAAACACATTTAAGCTAAGTTTGCACACATTTGAACTTCAGCGTTTCTATTTTTGGAACATCGGCGTTTCCATTTTTGGAAACTAAGTCTCCATAAATGGATACGATTCAGGAGCATTTTAAAGACGTGAATTTGAATGCGTACGACAGCTTTCCATGCAAGAAGACAAGTGCTCATGGTGTATCTGAGGTTGTGTGAGAAATATCGTTTCCATCTGCTCTGAGCGGCTAATCGGCGACACTCATTATTTCCAGCGACGGGAAGCGCCCCGTCAGTCGGCCCGGAGGCCAAGGCCGCCCAACCGGCGGCGGCTCGCTCGGCTCCTATCTCGCTGACCTCCACCGTTCGCCCACACCAAAAACACTCGGCGAGGGTTAGATCGTGAAAAATGGGTTGACGACACACCAAGGGCAAACGACTGTCGGAGAGGTATAAAACGGGCGCCAGACGCAGCAGCGACACACTCACACAGTCCACACCACACTCAACAACATCCACTCTCCAACACTCCACTCAACATGCACAAGTAAGTACCTACGTAAGAATGACTCAGACCGGACGGTCTGCCCCAGCCAGCTCTCTTGGAGCTGTGCTGTGGGGACAAGGTGACGTGACGTCTTCTAGGAAGTCCGTTTAACTTGCCGAACTATTCGGTATATGGTTGAACTGTTTGTTTTGTCTTTCGGCTACCCATTCGGTTATCTCTTTCGCCCTTTTTTTTGGTGACCGTTGACCGCCGTTGTCCGGTCTCACTGCGCTGTTTGTGTTTCAGCCTGCCCGCCATCATGACGCTGACCAGGGAGCCGATTGGCTCGGCTTGGCGGCAGCAGGCTGTTCTTTCGGCACTCTTCCGGCCTCTACAATATCGGCATACTCGAGTGCGATAGCAACTCGAGTGGGACTGATTTTCGGTCTTCTTTCGACACTCTTCCGTCTTCTTCGATATCAGCCTGTGCTAATGCAACGGCTATTCGTGCAGGACTGATTTTCGGCCTTGTCTTGTTTAATGACTCGATCGCTTCCTTTTGACATTTTGGTTTCGACCTCATCTTTTGGCTCATTTCAATATATCTACTTTTTGTTCATGTCTGTGTGCTGGTGGAATGGATAGTGTTAGAAGAAGAGAAAACACACACATACATCGATCTTGGTTTTCAGTGCAGTAGTTAATACCCCTAGACAACACATAGAGTAATATAGTGAAGGACACAATCCCCTAGACATACCTAGCGATAAGAGCAGCATAGCAGCATATACAAAGGGACAACTTTCAAATTACATTGGGGGCTCAGCCGGGCTATCAAACTCTGTTCTGCTCGAACAGGACCCTGATTGTATATGCCGTTGATTCATTGCATGTTCTTGCTTGTAAAGTTTTCAGGTTCTTTGTTGTTCCAGAATGATTCGTGGATCTTCGTTGGTGTAGCTTGCTGCTCGTGATTCGTAAACTTTCCGTTTCACCGTGTTCGTGAAACATGAATTGACTGGTCAAATTTGTGTATTTCCATTTCCAGTTACCTTTATTTGATGGCGAATGGCTCGAGTTCCAGACTCTACTAGGTTCGCCAGGCCAATTGTTGGTCCGCATGCTGCATGGGCAACCTACATCGGACGCACCGTCGAGGTCGCCATCTCTTGAAGTTCATTTGATTCAGGTTAGTCTTGCTTACTTCTGTGGGTCTACTTACTTTGCCTTCTGGCGATACGCTACTCGGTCGTATACCTCGCAAATCAATTCGTTCGCATCGTTGGCATGACAGCAAATGGCTATTTAACTCATGGTATAAATGAATGTCCAGATATGCTCTATGGATTACATCCATTCGATTCCTTTGACTTGAATATGTGTTCGGATGATACTTACTTGGTATAATTGAACTTTATTAAGAAGCTGCCCGTAAGGCGCTCATATAATGCCGACTTGGTGTTGTTGAGCTGGTCCGCTGGTTTGCTCTGATAACATCGACTTGGTGTTATTGAGCTTTGTCTTGACCTTTAATGCTCAAATGTTACTGATTTGACTTTAGGGAACTATATAACACTGACTTCGTTGTCATGGGACGTTCTGGTGATACCGACTTGGTGTCATTGAACTTTGGGGTAGTTGCCATAGGATGTCAGTGACCAGGTGCATGGCAGCACAGTGGTCAGCTAGCGTGTTCGCGGCAATAACCATCCACAGATAAAACAACGCGAGTTCGATCATCTGATCGCCAAACCGGATATACCATTCGATCAGCTTTCAAGATCGCGGAAGTATCCCATGATCAAGGTTCCGGAGTTCAGAGGTTCGTTGTCAGCGGTCCGTTGACATAACCTTACATGACCCTGACACAGTCCGAAGTGTCATTGTGACTGAGTGGATTGATGCCTCGCTGACATGATTAGTTATTCTTTTGTTTTTTTAACTGGTTGGTCACTGGTAAGTAGGTAGAGTTGCATTATGGCTGAGTTGTTGACAAGGTTCAGTGGAACAAGATCGGTTCAATGTTTCACAGTTTGAGATGTCATTTATTTGTGAGAGTACAACGTCATTTACATCTATTCAGTTCTTACACAGGAATTTCAATATTTCAGAGCATGTGGCAGGTTTTCGGTAAGTCGAATTCAGGTGAAGTAATTCTCTCTGTGTTAGACCCTTTGCCCTAGTTGATAGGTAAATTTTGTATTAATTAGTCATTATTGGTTAACATTGGACGGCAATATACTTTTAACTTTGCTTCGGTTCAAACAGACAGTCATCTCATCAGTCAGTTGAGGGTTGTGATTTGTGAAGATAATCCCAGTCAACATTGGTGATACTCCCGTCCAGTTGGGAAGTATTTGACAGTATGATAAACGCATTTGTTATTTGGCGGGTGATGTGCTGGGCCAGAAATGTGGTTTCCGTTTATTGAGTAGGTCGTGCCGTCTGCCTACGTCCCTGAGAGAAGGGCGAGTGCTAGGTAGGACGTGCAGCCTACAGACGTCTCTTGGAGGAGGGCGTCACAAGACCGTCTGCTCGCGGGGAGCAGGACGGCAGTCGCTGCCCGGACGCGTAGGAGCTGAGGAGAACTGGTGATAGGGCCTGCCCCACCTATCTACCAGAGTGAGTAGCATGGCAGAGGGTGGTCCTCTGGGGGTCCATGCCCACCGAACATACACCGGCCGGGTATGGGTGGAAATTCTCGGTCAGCTTACGCTCTAGGCATAAGGGCTGGGCGTGCAGTGACGGGAGCAGCAGGTCACTGGCACAGGCGACAATCCATGCTGAGGAGGTGTTCCTGGCATGTGAAAAACGGAACCATTTGAGCGTGTAAGGCGGCAAACCCCACCGCAAATACACTGCTACCGGAGTATAAAGAGTCGAACACTCCGGCGACTACAGGAGAGATGAGGCCAGCAGCGGACCCGACCAACAATTTACTTGCTTCAGGAGGTGACCGCAGCATCGATAAGGAAGGTGGGTTGTTTTATATCCGAGATAGGATGACTCGGTTGACTTGTTTGGCACTGCTCAGGAGTTGCTGGAGCAGCAACCCGACTTACAGCTTAATGACTTTGGAAGGTAGTCGCAGCAGTCGATCGGAAAGGTATGATTCACATTCAAGGTTAGATGGTTAGATGATTAATTGGCTGCTTGTTTTATTGCACAGGTGTTGCAGAAGCAGCAAACCCGACCAACACCATAATTACTTTAGGAATGGTACTTCAGGAATTGACCAGTGTCGGATAATTGACCACAGTGTCGATAAGACAGGTGTCTTAGGAAGATGACTCGGTTGCTTTGCTTCGTTTGCACAGGTGTTGCAGAAGCAGCGAAACCGATCGACGTTAACTTGTTTCAGAAGATGACCGCAGCGTCGATAAGAAAGGTGACTTGGTTGCTGTGCTTCGTTGCACAGATGTTGCAAAAACAGCAAACCCGACAAACAGTTGAAATGTGAGTAGACTTCAGGTGACTGCAGAGGGAAAGATAGTGTTTAAGACGGAAAGTGGTTTTCGTCTCGTTTTATCTCCATTCCATGGCAGGAGGTAGTACGACTCGAATCCTTGCTTAGCTGCACTTTGCAAGTCATAGCAAGTGCAAAACTCTTCAGGAGTCCATCCCGTGGCTCATCTCCAGAGTAGGAAGATAGACATAAATGCTTCATGTCCTGCTTCATCGTGAATTACTGCGTGGGTCTTGCAGTTGAGATAACAAGGCAAAGAAAAATAGTAATTCGGCCGTCAGCAGTTACCAAGTGAGCTGACTGAAGCCGAAAGGTTTCGATTTCAGCGCAGGTACGAGGCACGAGACGTCCCGAGGGAAGGTCTTGCCGGTAAAGCTAAACCGAGCAGAACCGCAACGGTAAGGGACAATGCAAAATTTACGAAATATTGGATTGATTTCGTTGTCTCGACTTTCGAGTAACACTTACGTTAATGTTTTATAGCAAGATTCTGGAGTAGCATCAACTGTGCAAACTGACCACACCTTTTCCTGTGGAACAATTTAAATATGAACCCGAAAGCCTATGTAGTTAGAACCTGCAATCCTATGTGAACTCGTTCAGCACTCATGTGAATCATTTGGCAATCCCAAAGCTGAACGAAGGGTCAACGTCATATTGAATGGAAGGTGTACCAGTTACTGTGGTTGACTTTCGTTGTATTGTCTGCAACAGACACCGCGCTGCCGAGTGGAGGTCCTGATGGATTTATCCAACCCTGCATGGAGCGCCACCGTCTCGTGAGTGACCAGCGACGGTGATGTCGGGTCACGAACAAAAGTAAGAACAACCCTTGAGATCAAAAGATCAAAGCCAACGGGCATGTGCTCACTTGTTAAAGTCAAGCAGACGAGTTTGCTACAATCTGCTTCAGCGTATGCATGAAGGTCGTGATAAGGGTCAGTTGGTGCTCGAGGTATAAGTTGTGGTGAAGCAACAATCTTGTGCATTGCCTTGAAACTAGATCCAGCGACATGGATCTGTGCAGACCAAAAGATGCGCGGGCATAGAACCGGCATAGACAATAGGACAAACTGCTCGTGTGCTGCGATGCTCGCATCGTCTGGTCCCTCCCAATGTCCTCAGGTCATTGGAGCCAGCAGCAGAGTGCGTCCTACACAGGTATCTGAGATACCAAAAGGTCTACAAGCACCACCAATCTCTCGGCATGTCAGATTGACTTCAGCCTCAACACCTCACCCGAGCCCTTAGGACCAACATCTCGATGCTGAGTGCTGCCAGAAGTCGGAAACGCATCCTTCTGTTCTAACGGAGGCAAACGATCACTTGCCCGTCGGTTGTAACTTATCTCCTCCAGGTGTGGCGGCCATAAAGCAGACGGATGGACCCATCACGTTATCACTCGTGAGTTTTTAAAGTCGAAGCCCGTATTGGGAATCGTTAACAAGCGTACCCTTTACATTGCACGAATGACGACATGCTCCTTTGTAAATCGTTTCCGGTAAACCACGAAATTCCCATCCCAGAAACAGTCCACAGGTCAGTAGCAAGGAGATGTGGTTCCCAGAATAATATAAATGTAAAGGTGCAGTGATTGCCTTTCTCCAAGATTTTGTATCCAGCAGCACTACCACGGTGCAATGCTAAAGCTGAAGCTAAAGTCGTATGATCTTATCTATCAAGCTATTAAGTGATTATGTATTTTGCACTATTGTCATATTTGTCGAAAGGCACAAAACAGTTAAAACAGTTTAAGACGCCGCATTTGCCATTGTCTACAAGTCAAACTCGGTTTGACCCAGTCAGACTGTAAGTCTATTATTACGTACGTATACCCGTTCACCCCCTAAGGTTACAGTTCTTCGTTCGCCATAAAAATGGGAGGGATGTGAGAAATATCGTTTCCATCTGCTCTGAGCGGCTAATCGGCGACACTCATTATTTCCAGCGACGGGAAGCGCCCCGTCAGTCGGCCCGGAGGCCAAGGCCGCCCAACCGGCGGCGGCTCGCTCGGCTCCTATCTCGCTGACCTCCACCGTTCGCCCACACCAAAAACACTCGGCGAGGGTTAGATCGTGAAAAATGGGTTGACGACACACCAAGGGCAAACGACTGTCGGAGAGGTATAAAACGGGCGCCAGACGCAGCAGCGACACACTCACACAGTCCACACCACACTCAACAACATCCACTCTCCAACACTCCACTCAACATGCACAAGTAAGTACCTACGTAAGAATGACTCAGACCGGACGGTCTGCCCCAGCCAGCTCTCTTGGAGCTGTGCTGTGGGGACAAGGTGACGTGACGTCTTCTAGGAAGTCCGTTTAACTTGCCGAACTATTCGGTATATGGTTGAACTGTTTGTTTTGTCTTTCGGCTACCCATTCGGTTATCTCTTTCGCCCTTTTTTTTGGTGACCGTTGACCGCCGTTGTCCGGTCTCACTGCGCTGTTTGTGTTTCAGCCTGCCCGCCATCATGACGCTGACCAGGGAGCCGATTGGCTCGGCTTGGCGGCAGCAGGCTGTTCTTTCGGCACTCTTCCGGCCTCTACAATATCGGCATACTCGAGTGCGATAGCAACTCGAGTGGGACTGATTTTCGGTCTTCTTTCGACACTCTTCCGTCTTCTTCGATATCAGCCTGTGCTAATGCAACGGCTATTCGTGCAGGACTGATTTTCGGCCTTGTCTTGTTTAATGACTCGATCGCTTCCTTTTGACATTTTGGTTTCGACCTCATCTTTTGGCTCATTTCAATATATCTACTTTTTGTTCATGTCTGTGTGCTGGTGGAATGGATAGTGTTAGAAGAAGAGAAAACACACACATACATCGATCTTGGTTTTCAGTGCAGTAGTTAATACCCCTAGACAACACATAGAGTAATATAGTGAAGGACACAATCCCCTAGACATACCTAGCGATAAGAGCAGCATAGCAGCATATACAAAGGGACAACTTTCAAATTACAGTTGTTTTACGCGAAACAGTTGTTATACATCAAATCCAGCCACCCTTGGCAAGAAAGTATGTGCGGACATGTTAGCGTTTCTATTTATGGAACGAGCGTTTCCATTTTTGGAACAGAAGAGTAGTCAAAATTGGAAACGTTTCCAATAATAGAAACGTCTCCATAAATGAATCGGAGATACCACAGTGCGCCCGACTGACCTGGCATCAGGGATGCTTTCACAAGGTAGGAAGGATCATAATCTGAATCAAGAAAGTGGTCTGAGCAAATCCTTGCCTGCAACACATTTATAGGATCCTGCCTCGAACATCAACATCTATGCACCCAGGTTGCACATGTGGCTGGATCCTTCGGGAACCGAAAAAAACGATTTTGTGCAGAACTTGCCAGTCCTTCGGTAACTTCGGCATGTAGCCACCGCACAGTACGACATCCTGAATCAAGTCCTGAATCATTCAATCAATTTAAGTTTCAATGGTTTCAAACAATCAACTCGAGGGTACAACCAAGGTACAACACAAGCAAGAAACAGGAAATGAACTTGTTTACAACCGTGAGTCCGTGACCCTCAAAATCGAATTCAAGGCCAAATTTGCGGGGAAGGCCAGCTGAGAAGTGTCCGGTCCGCTGACGTCACGGGTAATGTTAAAGATCCGGGTGCCCGGCAAATAGGAAAGCTCGGGATGACAGCCCCCTGCTGTGCAGTAGCCTGTGCGCAGGCGCACCTAAATTATAAAACACATTTGACAGATTCTGAAGTGGGAAGCATGCTTATCAGACACGGGCACCTCGATGCGGTGGATATTCTTTCCAAACCAAAACGTTTAGCCGTCAAAAAGCAATCGACCGAAATGGATAGATAACCCAACCGACACAAGGAAACCAAACACCCGCCGATCGCAAATACCCCTTTTCGCGTTGCGGAGCACGCGGGTCACCCTAGTTACTCCTATTTTGGCATCCAATCGACTTGAAAGTTTCAGTACTATGCTGCATTAGATCTTTAATGACTCTCCGATGCAAGGCTATATAAACCAGGTAGAACGCTCCGGGAAAAAAGTTGGAAACAATAAATTAGTTGCGGCATTCCCTGATGACGCGAATGTGGGTCAGCGGCCGGCTGCCGGCGGCCGCTAACACTGTATGAGGATGAATGCACGGAACTTTTGCTTGTTGGAGATTGCGCGAGGCAGTTAAATGTTAATGTTAGGATATGTTTCGAAAGTAAATTGAACGACGCTTCGAACGCCGTCAATGAATTTGCGATACGACGACTATTTGTTTAGTTAGAGCCGGCGAACTTTTACCTTCCGACCGCGCGGGGAGGCGATATGGTGCCACTTTGACGGTTTTTACGACAGCTCAAAATTATTTTGAGCTAAAGAGCTGAAATTTGGTATGTCCAATCTTTTGATCAAGCTGGATCTTCTGGTACAAGTCGCATATTTAAGGTACGTCAGGTTGTTGACCTATGTTGTCGCTCGTGAGCCTCTACACAGTCCAAAAACAACGCAATTTCTGAACACTCAGTGCCAAGAAATCCTTCACAGAAAGATGACACTTGGCAGAAAGAATGGCTGTCGGTTTCTTACCGTTCGTATGTGTCGTGTTTTCACAAGAATTTAGTGAGGTCAGGTCCCTCACGTCACCTCCCCTCAATAGGACTAGGTTTACTATCATAGAAGCGTTTATCAATCGCCGGAAATCTTAGCCAATCCCACTGGACACAGGACACTGGATCCATACCCACAGGCCACATGGGGCCCTCCTGACTGGCCACTCCCTCTGAAATCCACAATAACATTGGGCTGCGGCCATGGTTATGTATTAATGCTTTTCACTAACAGAAATACAACAACTTCAACCAGCACAATGCACGCCCCCACAACAGTCCGAGTTCCGACCAACGTCCCTGATATCGACTAGCACTCGGCCGGATGCACATATGCGGAGCCAATCAGTCCGAATGTGACCTGCAGCTTACAATTGCTGTGTCGCATGGCGCATGGCACAGGGCGATTCCTAGCAGCTGTCGGATGGAGTGGAGAAACAGCACGTTGCGACACACCGCGCCGGCGACAGAGCTCAGCAGGGCTGGTTGGAGGCTGGAGCCGGAGGTAAGGACGGACACAGGCACAGACATTGCAGGACAAATAACAGGATGTCAGTTAGGGATATAATTCAAGACGAATGATTCAAGGCGGACTGAAATAATGCACACTTTGCTCACTTGGATACCAACTTCAAACTTGACGTTTATAGCACCACGGAAACAATGGCCACACAGGAAAGAAACAAAAGATGAGGTGTTTTTAACTCAAAGTAAATAGAGGTTGCATAAGATGGAACAGCCCGAAGTGCAGACAAGCACATATTTTTGGTAATAGCTATCAGCTGTCCTACTCCTCTTCTCCCTTCATCAACTACTGGACACATCTGAAGCATCATATAATATAGGTAGCACCAATATGTCCATAACAAAAGCTTGCAAAGTAGTTTTATGAAGCCAAGGGAAATATGCCTACATCATGCATGTAAACTCAAAATTACACATGCATGACAAAGGAAGCATATGTAAAGAGAAGAGTTGGCAAAAGCATTTCATAGTTAAAATTATTCAAAACTGCACACAGGGCAAACATAAAAAGCAGCAAGTGTGCTGTTCTGTTATGCTAAGAAATAGTCCAAAACAAAATACATCTTTTCATGTTTGAACTGGTTGTTCTTCTATGCCACTTCATCCATATCTTGATTACAGATGGGCTGTAATTGCTGTAGGCTGATGAAGTGACACTTGATTGCCTTTGTGAGAATTTCAGTTGCAGCCTCCTAGGTACTGCACTGGAAAGCAGATTGAATTTAATGCCTCTGAAAGATAGGAATACAGGCAAAGTTAGCTGTAGTAGTGTCAATGATAATAGACATGTCATTTTTGTCCTTTTACATACATTTGTTGAAGTACAAAAAGGTACAAAATAAATTGGTTTGTTTCAAGACACGCACACTGCACAAAGCCGCACAGACATTACACAGGCATATGAAATTGGTAAACATAAAACTTGATGATTAAAAAGGTCAAAACTTGCAATAATAACTGAAGTAAAAGTTACAATCACAATCATTTGATTTAAAATGACTTGACATAAGTCACAAGACGCAACGCTCCTATTCTTTTATGCTTTCATTATCCTCCACATATCAACCAGCTTGATACCAGGCTGTGCAATAGTGTGTACATAACCCTATGTTGCTATTTTATTAGAGCAAGTGGGGTTACAACAACAATGCTATTGTCAAACCCACATCTGCAACCCGTACTGCAGTTTCAATCACCTTACAAGTACACCTTCTGGCAGTTTGATAGGCAGAATGGTCATTACTACTTTCTCCTCATATTCAACACATATTCCCTTTATACAGATACAGTTTAGGCCTGGTTATGGCAAACATTTTCGAGAAAAGATATGATTAAAGTCCAAGACAAAGGTCGAGAGCAACAACACCAACATAAAACACCGACTATGTAGCACTAATACTGTCAAATTCATAAAAATATATGTATACATGAGTCGATCAGAAATTCACTGTAGATTTCGAAAATGGTGTCAAATGCCACTCAAATACCCCCATTCGCATGTACGAAGCAATAAAACACTGACCTTCAATTCCGCGTGCCATTCTCCATAGGCCACTGTGTATTAAATAACGCGTTCACTGATAGCAAAAAATGAGACCCACATATGACGCGTTTGCTACCAGCCAATCAGCGCTCGAGTTGCCGAACGCTGATTGGTGGAGAGGGCCGTCGTTAGCAGTTTATTACACGTTGTTTTCCTTGAACATGTGCGTGAGCGCTGATGCTGCTCACGGGCTGTTGCCATTTTTCGTAATGCTGAAGGCACGGGAGCGAACCCCCCTGCTCCGATGGAAAACTTGACCTGCGACCTCAAGAGCCTGCAGTTGGCGACGAGGTCATATCACGTCATCATCAGGTCATATAAGTTTTCATGCAATAACTTTTGATTCAAACAAGTTACAGACGTCAAACCACCCTCATCATGTTTGTTTCGACAAGACGCATCGACTGATATGCAGCGTAACCTTTTGGGGTCAGCATAGCCTTGACCTGAAGTTGTATTTTGCATTTCACCTTTCTAGGTCAATTATATATCGTTCGACCCGTAGCCGGTCCGGTCCCGGTCCCGTAGCTCAATTGGTCAGAGCGTTGGACTCCGCGTGGTGAGAGCACGCGTTCCCGGATGATGACAGTTCGGGTTCGGATTGCGACGGGCGCTCGACATTCATGGGCCTCCTGACAGACCTATGGTTGCGGTTGGTGGCAGACCGTAGCCAGGCAAAGTCAGCGAGGGGACCGGCCGTACGCGGCTTTGTGCGCACGTTAAACTTTGGACTCTAAATTCTGCCATATGAATCGGAATTGCGCGATCGGAGGGTAGAGGGTAGGGTTATCGCAACAAGCTTCGCTTAGCGGTGGCTCTTGTTTAATTGTCGGAACGCCTCTTGGATGTAGGGCATTGTTTCTACTTGAATATTTGTATGTTGGTGACCTTAAGCCCTAGTGTAAAGACGAAGAAACCAGACTGACCTCCAGATGATGTTGAAGACGATGCTGTAGTCGACGATGATGAGAAGAAGACGACGAAGAAAAGTTGTGCACAAATTTTCGGCCCTAGGCCATCCTCAGGTGATGACAGGGGAGGTAGAGGTAAGGAGGGGGAGGAAGACCACCTCCAACGGTCGCCGCGGCGAGGCACCAACTGACGCCCGACGGAGGTTTGAAAT